GAAGTGTTCACTTTCATAAAGAAGATTATAATTATGAAAATGCGAATAAACCTCGTTTAAAATCTGATGTTGTACCATCTATATTTAATTTTCCGGAGTAAATGTATTGTAAAAAGACCATCAAAAGAAAAAATATTTCTAATAATGTAACTGAGACATTTGAGACTGTCAATAAAAAAAGAAGCCTCTTTCTTTGCCATATTCCGCTAACTATCATATTTTTACTAGTGTAATTTTTATTGATAATTCTAAAAATAAAGTCGACTCTCCATTCAAAGTCAAGCTAAAACGAAAAGTTAAAACTCTTACACAGAAGCTTAGAAGACAAGAGTTGAAAATAAATACTATCACAGAAATTATTAAAAAAACTTGAGAATGACAAGCTTTCATCAGCTGATGTAGCTCAAATTGTTAATGTTAAATTTTTTGGACTTGTTTGTGACTTATTTAAATCTGAACTAGTGAATAAATGCAAAGATCCTCGAGGCCGCAGCAATTCAGAAGAAGTGAAGAAATTTGCTTTAACGATTCATTTTTATTCACCTTGTGCGTATACTTTTGTTAGATCATTGTTTGCTTTGCCTTGTATTAGTTCTCTAGTAAATTGGTCATTGTCTATTGATTATTCACCTTGTTTTTTTAAAGATGTTTTTTCTTTCTTAAAACAAAAGGGATCAGAAAATATTACGTATAAAGATTGTGCATTGATCTTTGATGCTTTGCATATAAAATCAGGTCTTTTCTATAACCCAAGTAATGGTAACTATGAAATCGTTTTCAGATTAAGGAAACAATATATCTGCTTTTGATTCAGATAGCATTGCTACTGAGGCTCTATCTATGCTTGTTGGACTTCGAGGTTTCACACAGAACATAACCAATAGGACATTTCGTTGGAAATGTCCCATTGGTTATGTTCTGTGTGAAAAGATTTCAACATCAAACTTAAGTTGTCTTTTAATTAAAGCAGTTAGTTTATGTATTCAACATGGTATAGATGTTCACAGTATAACTTGTGATGAAGCTTTTGTCAGTTTTGGTGCAATGAAATTTGGTTGTTCATTTGATAAAGTTGAAAACATTAAAGCTTATTTTAATATTGAATCTTATGATAACAATATATATTTTATTCCTGAGCCTTGCCATATGCTAAAACTTGCACAAAATGGTTTGTTTGAACTTCTTGTATTTATTAATAGTCAAAATAGAATTGTAAAGTGGGATACATAAAAAATAAACACATTAAATAAAATATAAAACTTTAACATGTAGAACACCACAAAGACAAAGCACAGCATTTTACAAAAACTTACAGAACACTGAAACAACAATTACTTAAATCTAACTTAACACTCTCTGAACTCTAATTTAACCACTCAGTGCCGGATCAAGGGGTGGGGGGAAGGAGGCTATTGTCCCCGGGCCCCGCAAATTTAGGGCCCCCCAAAATTTTAGAGAACCTTTTTTTTTTAAAGTAATTTTTAGGCTCTGGCCCATAAAAAAGGCCTCCAAAAAAAAATAGCCCCCGGCCTCAAGAAGTCTAAATCCGCCACTGTAACCACTGAATAATACTCCCCTATTAAACACCACTTCTCAATACTGGACACCTGTCCAAATATTATAATTTATCTATTACTCCCTTGCAGTCATATATTTCTCCCTTCGTTTCTTATAACTATTACGGCCTGATGGTTCCATATAAATGGTGGAACTTTAATAGCTTCCACTGAGAGTCGATAGTATAAATAAGAAGGATTATGATCAAAAAGAACATATAACATGCAAGCTAAAATAATTTGGAAAACCAAAGTATTTCCAAGGACACAGTTACATACATTAAACACTAAATAAAGTTTTATGCTCCAACATTTTTAATACTGCAAACGCAAAACACAAAACACAATAACTAACACAACACACGGAACACTATAACAAAGCTTACTCACCTTACTCAATGGGAGCTTAAAAAACACTCACGTAACTCTAACTCAATTACTGAAAAATACTTCTCACTTAAATATCACCCTTCAATACTGGACATTTGTCCAAACATTATAAATTATCTAGCACTCTCTTGCACTCATATAAAATATATATAAAAACTGTGATTATGCGTTTTTTTTTAATTTTATAATGTCACCGCCTTTACAAAATAATGACGTTTTTTTATCAAGTTTAATCTTAAATAAAAGAATTTGAAAAAGATTTGTTTTGAAAACATTTAATATATTTAGTTTACTTAAAAGTATTTTTATATGGGAGAGTCGACCTTCATATGTAATAATCCTAATAGAATGTTTTTGTTTGCAGAGAAGCTTATTTATTTTTGTAACGTTGGTGCTGCACCAAGCAATATTTGCATAATTTAGGTATAAATGAAAAGTATATGTATTTTAAACAAGATTGGTTTAAAAACTGTTCAGCTTTATACAGTATACCAATACTTTTTTAAATTTTATTCTTAATTACATTTATATGTTCTCTCTAATTAACATTTTCATCTAGAATTACGCCGAAGAACTTTAACGATATTTCCCTTTTTATTAAATTATTATCAATAAAAAGATTCGGTAGTTTCAATAGAATTTTTTTTTTTAGAAGCATGATGGAATAATATGTGTTTAGTTTTATTAATGTTTAAGGGTAGTTTATTGGATTTAAACCATTGGCTTAGTTTATCAAGTTCTTTGTTTACTGTTAACAATAAAACATTAATATCTTTATTGAAATATAACAAGTTAGTCCCATCGGCAAATAAAATTGAGTTTAAGATATTAGAAAAATTATTTAAATCATTCATATAAACTAGAAATAAGAGGGGTCCAAGTATTGAATACTAGGGAACACTGCATGTAATAGTCATGTTATTCGTTTTTCCACCTTCGTATGAAATATACTATTTCCTGTTGAACAAGTCACTTTTAAACCAAGCCAAGTTTGAATTTCTTATACAGTAGATTTCGAGTTTGAATAAAAGAATTATATGATAAGCTGTATTAAAGGCTTTGCTTAGATCTATAAAAACACCTAGTGTAAACTATTTTTCCTTAAACCCTTTAAATATATCATGTACAAGATGTAAGATTGCGTGATCAATAGAATGACCATATTTAAGACCAAATTGTTTATTGTACAAAATATTATTTTTATTTAAGAAAGAATAGAGTCTGTCATACATAATTCGTTCGAGAAATTTTCGAAAAACATATAAGAATTGAGATCGGTCTATAATAAGTAACGTCATAAGGATCACCTGATTTTAAAATTGGGACAACTCTAGCAATTTTTTAATTTTTCCGGAAAATTTCACTCTTTTCAAGATAAATCAAATATATACAAGAGTGCGATTGTAATGAATTTTATTGAGTTAATAATGATGCTACTACTTATATTGTCAACTGATATACTTTTTAAGAGCTTGATTAAAAAAACTGCGACTAATAACTCTTCTTCAGTAAGTTTATCATTAAACATAATATTAGTGTTATTAGAAACCAAGTATGCATCAAAGCCGGTTTGTGAGGACTTAATTTTTGATGCTTAAGAAGGACCAACGTTTACAAAAAATTCATTAAGTGTTTCAGTCGGTAGTTGTTTTTTTAAAACGTAGTTATTATTAAATTTGAGATATTTTGGAATAGTATTTCTGTCAGAATTATTTTTATCAATGATTTTCTTAATAATACGCCAAGTATTTTGAGGATCATTCGAGTGCTTTTTTAACTGATCTGAATATAAATATTTTAGTGATTTTTTTACAATTGACTCAAAGTATCGTTTGTATTTTTATAATTAGTTTTATTACGAATAGTTTATTTTTAAAGAAAATATTTGATTTTTGGTACCTAATTTTTATTCGCCCGAAATGGTCGCGGAAGACAAAGGGAGACAGAGGGGTTATTTAAACATTTTTTATATTTGATTTAGATTAAATTAAATTTTCATTAAAATATGGAAAATATTGGCAGAGATAGAGGTTTTCAATATTGTTTCCAATTTATTAAAATTTTGAAATGAAATCATTAGATAGTAAGATGTTTTTTTACTTCTTTGTTTTTGTACTTCAAATAACCAATCAGATATTTTAAAATTGAATTTTTTTTTTGATATTAGGGTGTGTTTAAACATCATCAACACATTTACTATGAGTTTTACATTCACCTTCTATATTTGGTGGTTGTCTGGTATTAAAGTCTTTTTTATACAGACAAAAACTTTGTTTTGAGACTTTAGGAAACAGTAGTTGTGTTTTTTTATCTTTTTTTAAAGGTTGGAGAGGGGGGGGGGGCTTACGCCTCTACCATTAGTCAATGTAAACACCACTTGTATACGTAAATTTTTGTATAGCGCAATTTTATATTGAATACTAATTGAATTCATTATAGTAAAAATAAAAGTATTTATGAAAACAAGTCATTTTTGATACTAAGGTGTATCAAACCATTACCATTACACCCACCTCTATCGTTAACATACACCTCTCATATACTTCGGTGATTTAATATAAATTTATAAATATATATGAACTATTTATATATATATGTATTACATATATTTCCAGATTTGCTATAAAGTGCCTTGAGTGCCGTGGCTAAAGGCCCTCGAAAACCTGTCATTCAAGGATTCAAATTCTTAAAAATATTTATCCTAGGTTCACAAAAATAAAAATAGTAAAAAATAAAAATTCCTTAAGTTTGCTGAAGGGTTTCCTAAAGCCGCTGCCTCCCAACCCCTCTCTTTCAATAAAAGTATGTGGGTACCCTAGCCACAGCTCTTGATGCCTAGAAATTTAAACGTTCCAAGAAACGTGTTAATTAAGACAAGTTGAAGTAGATTACAAAACGTAAATTTAAATTAATTCGGCTTATTTGAGCGCAGTTCAATATGATTTCATATTAGCAACATTTTTGACTATAAAATAAACATGTTTCTGAATTTATGAAGCAGGGATGTTGTATATTATAAAAGATAAAACGCCGAAACGAAAAATTCGTTTAAAATTTATTTTAAAATTTTTAGTATTTACTTAATGAAGTTAAACTTATACTAAAAATAGTCATTATAAAATATAATTTATAACACAAAAAACAAAAAATTTTTTGTAAAAATAAAGGCTTATTTGAAAACCCTCATTTTCAAACCAGGGGTCAGAACATCAAAATTGTTGCAAACCGTAAATAGTTCCAGTGACTGTTTATCGTTATTGCTATCAAAGACAACAGCAAAACCACTTTTGTGTTCCGCACAGCTTTTTATTTTTTCTTTTATCATCGTAATCAAAGAACACAATTTCCCTAAGGATTGTTGATAATCCTCTTTTTTACGATCACACCTTTTAGACACTTCCTCAAATGAAATCTTTTCAATTTTTTTCAAAACCCCCCTCTCATGCCAACCAAAAACCATAAGATTTATGTTGAAAAACAATAAGTGACTCCATTTATTTGTAGGAAATTCAAAATTATTGTCATAGATACCTTTTGTTGTTAATTCAATAAATTTTTCATATTTTTGATTATCAAAATCTCCACCTTCAATCAGCATTAATTTAGAACTTTCATCAAATGCAATCGGTTCTGTTTTTTTCGGCAGTAACTCTGCTTGACCTAAACAACTATTTTTTTCAACGCAATCTACTTGAGCTTGACACATTACACGTATACTACCTAACATATAAGTGACAATATTCCAATAACTTCCCGCTTCAGGTGACCCATTTTCCGTAAATTTATTTTTAAAATCAATACTATAGTCTTGGCACGGCAAAATGACGTTCTCGTCGTTGCGAATAAACATTAACGTATCATTTTCATTCATTTGAATATCAATTCGAAATGAATCTTTTGAATTGCCTTCAACAAACTCGAATAATTTACGCAAGTTAATACGATCAGTTATCAAATCAACCGAGCTAAAATCGTATTCTGGAGTACACAGTAAAACAGCTTGAAACATAGGTTCCATTGGATGCCTACTCATATAATATTGATTTTCATCGCATACACGTTGAACATCGCTCTTTTTAAGCTTTTGGCAAAGTAGATTTTCTTTAATATAATTGGGTATACCAGGTACTATAATTACTGGTTTATCCGGTGTGCTTTGCAGGGCCCAGTTATACGATCCAACAGATACAAAGTTATCCACGAAACCATTTGAATTCAATGTTATATCATTTTTTTCGAAGTTTTTAATCAACTCTTTTTTATTCTTAAATAACCATTTTTCTTTTAGTTCAATCAATTTTTCATCGAGTTGGCGGCACGATGTATCATCGCGTCGATGAAACGATTTATTTTTATCCCAGCGGTATGAACCAGTTTTTTTGTACATCGTTTTTTTTAAGCTGAAAAAAAAAAATGTTTTAATAATTGTTCAAAAAGTTAAATTGTAATGAAAATGAATGCAATCAATAAATAAATACTAAAACGTTTTTATGAAATATAAAAAACCAAAATAATTATGTTTGGATATTTAAAAACGATGCATAATATTTTTTGTTGTTGTTGTTTTTTTGTCTTAAAAATTTATAAATTTGAAAAAATTAGGTAAATTTGAAAAAATTTAAAAACTGTTTATTGATCAATTTTGGTTGAAACTCAATAATTTATTGTTTATAGCTTCGTTATATTATTAACATTGATTTTAACTAAAACAAAAAAAAAAAATAATTAAAATATCAGAAACAGGGTGCAATACTTCTAGTCACTAATTTAAACATAAAAATGCTTTATATTGCAATACTTCTATAGAAGTATTGCAATATAAAGCATTTTTAGATTGATTAGCATGATTATTTTGCTAGATAGATTATTTTGCTAGATATGTGTAGATACATAAATAGCATGATTATATGATTTTTAGATACGATTAGCATGATTAGATCTAATCATTAATTTATACATAAAAAAACAGGTGTAGTTTTATGAAAAATTATAAAACTATTCTTAGTACATCTGAAATCTTTATGATTTAAGCTTTTCTAAATCTCAAGATATCAGTATTTGAAGTTGCAAAACAAATTAAAACTAAAAAATTATGTAAGCAATGATTAATATATTGTTATAAAAAGGAATTATTAGGAATAAAATAAAACTAAACAATAAAAAAATTATTAATAAAGTATACGTAGGTATTTTATGCAAAGTGTATATATTTTCAGAAAGAATAATAAATCTGGAATTGAATGGTATACTAAAAAAAACTCAATTTTTTAAAAAAATTTAGCATTTTTTCTATTTGAGCTACCTTAATTATGTTAAGCAGTTTTTAAACCTTTTTATTTTCAAGTATTGCCTATAAATAATTTTAAACGCAAGGTAAAATAATTAGTGTATATTATTAAAAAGTATGTAGGCAAACACGTATGGTTTTGAAGCTTTTCTTTTAAACCAGTATCTTCCTCAAAATATTTAGAAGTGTCAGAATTTTTATAACTCATAAGTTTTTATAAAAGAAAAATTGATGCGATGACAAGTGACATCAAACAATCTAAGATCACTAAGTTGGCAACGACAAACCTCCAAACGTTGGATAAGTTTACCAGCAACCTGTAATACGGAAAAGCCAAGCTCTATGCTACCCATCAATAGTTTTTGCGTCAATATAGTATTTAGATAATATTTTTTTGGCTATATGTAACTGCTATTTGAAAATTTGGTTAAGCACCTGTTCTAATTTATTTTGATTAGCTGGTAGAGTATTTTAGAGGATACATTTTTATTTGTTTTTTAACATAAATAAAAGAAGATAGGGGAAGTTAGAGTACAGAAGATCGAGGGGCACAGTTAATAAGAAGCATTTTCTTAAAGATTAGATTTTTGTTGATCTTACCATTGTAATCATTTTATGTACTCGTTTATCAGCCATTTAGATTTTATACTAATCTAAATAATAAAAGTATGCCAAAACAACAGTGTACAGTGTCTTTACACCCTAAGCCTCGTAGTTATTTGGCTATGCCCCTATTCACTATCATTAAATCACAGCTGCGTTCATACGTTGTGTTACGTTATTCACTTTAAACTATTCTGTGAGCCGTTAGATAATAAATATATGGGTTTTAGTGATTTTTTATCATAAACGACATATCCCCAAATCCTTTGGCCTTAAAAAAATAAATTTAAACTTTTGCTTAATTTTAAAAATAAAGAAATCTGATCCACTGTGCTCGAACTTTTCCTACCATATATATATTTGGTAGACGTTCATTAATTTAGACTTAAATAATGGTTGAGAAAGTGTAAAACAGCCCACCTTAGAAGTAATTCAAGTTACATGCTTTTATTTATTAAATAGCTTTATTTTTTATTTGTACTGCACCAAGCAAAGTTTACGTAATTAAGATGACATTAATAAACGAAAAATGTAAATTATTTGAGAAACTTGAACTTAAAAAAGGATTTGCTCGACAAAGTACGCTTAACTCCTATGAGATTTTATTTTTGAGACAATCTATGTGATCTCTCCACGTGACATTTTCGTCAAGAAGTACGTCAAAAATATTTTCTATGTCTCGATTGGAAATTTTGGAAGTTCTACATTAATAATATTTTGATCTTTAAAACGGTGGAAAACATTACTTTTCATTTAAATTAGACAATAATTTATTTGCATTAAACCATTCGGTAAGATTTAAAAGCTTTGTTTACTGACTCAAACAGAATATTTATATCATTATGCACTTAAAATAGATTTGCAAATAATATTGTATTTAGTTCAGTTCAAGCTTTGCTTAAATACTAAATGAGAAATAAGAGTGGTCTCAATAACCCCAATGAACACCGCAAGTTGGGTTCATATTGGTCAAAGATTTATTTCTTGCTAATTGAGGAATGACTTTTAAATCACGCAATAAATAGATTTTAATACGATAGTTTTCCAGTTTTCCTTATAAAGTTGAAGCGTTGTTAATATTATAACAGTCATTTTTAATTAGTTTTTTTGGTAAACAGCTAATATTCATATATTTTTACTATCAAAAATATCTTTAACTATTTTCTAAATTTATTGTAAGTCATTCTTTTTATTTTAGTAACTGCTTACTATAGTAAATTTTTTTGAGCGCTTATATGGGGGTCGTTGAAAGCATACACTTGCGTTTTGCTGCTTACGTACTTAGTTGTTTATCCTTTATAATATCATATAAAAGTGTAGTCTTAATAAATTTTAATTTGCGAGCCAAACTGCTCATGGTAAGCCGTGACATTATTGATATTTTTGTTGTAAATTATAATACTTAATAGGATAACTTGTTTTGGCGCTTTTTACAATCGTCACAAAAAAACATCATTCATAATTTGCTTTGTTTTCAAAAGTTCTTTTTTTTCAATATTTTTTTTTGAAAGATGACTCCCAGTGTAATCCAGGGATTTTGTAGAGTTTTTGTTATAATAAATTTTGTTGTTGTTGGGAATGATTTAGTGTAATGGTATTGAAATGTGTTAAAATCCTGCGACTTAGCAAAATATTTTTGTAAACTTTAAAATCTAAAGAGTTGTGGGTAAAACTGCACAATCCTCTACCTGGTTTTCTAGTCTCTAATTTGATAACCAAACGATGACCCTAAATCTTTTGGTTAAAGTTAGGGTATGGTTATCGATAAAATAAATAATCTTTATGGTATATGACCAGAGTTAGGTATGATTTTTAATAACACTTGTTTTGCGTAGAACCTTGTAAGTAAGTGGGTGAAACATTTTTCACCAACTTACTAAAATACACACGTCTATACGAAGTTTATTTTTAAAAAAGGTAAAACTTGTTTAGAACTTTCTGCACACTAAATTGATCATAGATCATAAGCCTTTTAAATTACAAAAGATGGTAGATGTTTGCCTTAGAATTATTTTTTATCATTTTGGGGTGTTTATTAAAACCATTAACACTAAAAAAATATACTAAATTTATACCAAAATGTAATACGTTATAGGAAACTTATATTTATTTCATAAGCATTTTTTAACTTAGAGAATTTACGATTTTATTGATTTTAGGATAATTTATGGAACAGCATATTTTTATTTTGAATAATTTTCGGAGGAGCATTTAACAAATAACTTCACGCCTCCTTTCTAATCAATGTTGCTTAATTGGTTAGAGTCGGCATCGAACCGCAAACCTCTTGGTTCTTAGCCAGAACTTTTACAAATTCAAATTTTAGTACACTTGTTATTGTTAGAAAAAAGTAAATCAGAAACAAATAAATTATTTGATTATGGAATAGAATGTACCGTTTAGATACAACTCGTTACAAATCGAAATTTTTAACGAAACGAAAGTAAATATAAAACAAATGAAAAGAGCACTGCTTTCAGAAAATAAACCGTAAAGTAATCTACAATCAATTTTTTTAAACATTTTTATGAGTATCGATAACGAGGATATTAACACTATATCAAAAACCCAATTTTGTTTAGAAACTTGTTAAATGAAAGTCTTTACTTAATGAAAACAGCAATGACAGAAAGAAAATAAAAAATTTAAAAGCTGTATTGAGATTGCTTACCAGTTATTACAATGTCTTTTATATAATTATTATAATGTCAGTTATTATGATAAACATTATAATGTCACCAGGCTCAGTAGCAGAAGGTGATTTAACTCTTCCTAGCTGTAACTAATTTTTTTCCTGTAGATATTATTTTTCTGACGTATTTGTGTTCAAAAGATAATTTAAAAAAAAATTTCGCTGTACCCTATTTTACATGCAACACAATGAACCCAGTAAACATAGATTGGTTCAGAATTGGTCAATATTTAGTCGAAATCGGTCGAATAATGGATAAAAAGTTTAGCAACCTATTATTGACTAAAAATCGACGCTTAATTTTAATTGCATATTTTACACTTTTATATATATACGTTTAGTAATCGCCGATCTAAGGTGTAGAATATCAATTTACATTAGTCAATATTGTCAACTTTTAATCGACCTTAAACATTTATAGATTTAAAATCTACGCTTTAAATCTTTTAATATATACGTTTATTAAACGTCGATCAAACGTTTACAATATTGACTAATATAAGTCGTTATTTTAAACGTTTAATCGATGTTAAATAAAGATATATTATACAATTATAAAGTAATATAGCCATTGGTCAGAAGACTCACATAACAGCTTAAGTCACGCGGTTTAAGTAGACAAATAAAACGAAATAGAAAACTTATTAAAAAATTATTTTTAATTGCTAATTCATTAAATTAGATTTAAATGCGTTTTCAAGATTCACAATAAAAAGCTCTTGTCGCGACAATTTACCTTCTTATATGCCAACAAATTAATAGGCTCCGATGTTTTAGAAATTATTGATGGCCACATTGACACAATTAAAAAATATGAGTTGCTGGTCTCACGTTATGAAAGTCCTGCTCCAAGAGCTTATTTAGTAAGTTTTATAAACAGTTTAACTTCCATTTTTCCAGTTTTCTTTACATTTTCTAAAAAAAACTGGTGGGACAGAGCTGTTAAAAACCACTGCATATGTTATGTCGCGACGTTATTAATTTTTAATGTCAAAAATAAACATGGATGGTACAGGAAATTTCGGAAATTCCATTCAAAAAATCCTCTATATGTAAAGTTGTTCTGTTTAATTCCAATCTTGGTTCATGAACTTACATTTTAAATGCTAATTATTTTACCCTATTTTTTGCGGTTATAAATCAGGCTAAGAAATCAAACGATCAGCATACGAATTTAGAAGATGATGTTGCACAAACAGGTGCAAAATGAACAAGCAGTAGACGATATTCCAGGAAGATTTTTGATAATGCATAAACCAGAGAAACCAGTGATCCAAAATATTTGTTTATGAGTTTATTAATTTTATTAGCAATCTTTGACTTAATCTTAATGTAAACTTTTATTTTCTGCTAATGAGAACAAATTTGATAGAAATCGTTACTATAAAATTTCCACGGCAAAAAGCTCGATCATTTAATTTTTTTTAATTATCGAAAGATAAACAAGTATAGGACACACAAATTTTTACTCTAAATCCCCATTATATGAAAACAATTTTAATAAGTTTATAACTTTATATATAGTTTTATAATATAAAAGTATAATATAAATTGTATAGTATAAAGTTTATAAACATATTATCATAGTTATAAAATATATAAAAAATAAGACCAGGTCTTTTATAACTATATCTTATTAAAAAATTAATTACTTTTATAACTTTATATTATTTAAAAGTTTCAAGACCTATATAGCTCTTGTTACTTATATAAAGTTAAAAAATTATTACGTAATTTTAATTTGTATTAGTTTAACCTAAATTAGTTTAACCTAAATTAGTTTAACCTAAATTAGTTAAACCTAAATAAATTGTAATTACGTTAACTAAATCAATGAAGCTATTAGACAAGATCTATAAGTTTAATGGACTTCTACTTAGACTAAATCTAAACGCTCTAAGGTGAGTTTCCACACATCCGTTTTTCTACGGGAAAGAGAAAGGGAACGGAAAAATAATCACGTGAGCATGCGCAGTTTTCTTTCAGACAAGTAAAAACTTTTGTTACGCATGCTCACGTGATTATTTTTTCCTTTCCTATCCCGTTCCTGTAAAAAAACGGATGAGTGGAAACTTGCCTTTATATACGTTAATTAGACTAGATTTAAATGTAAATTAGACAAAATCTAAACGCTTTATACACGTATCACAATCCTATAATAGACGTCTAAAATACGTTTTAATATAGACGTTTTATGGACGTTAGTTCCATAATAATAATAATAGCAATAATGTTTATTTGCATTAAATTTAAATACAAAAAGGTGAGACAGGTAATCACAAGATTACGCTTACATAAAACCATTAATATAAAAATAGACAAAGATAATTACAATATAAATTAACAGAATACACTATTGCGTTGTAGATCATAATTATTTAACTTTCTTTTGAACATTGATAAATAAGGAGAATCAACAATGTGAGCTGGTAAGGAATTCCATAATTTTACAGTTCTTTCGCTAAAGAAGAATTTACGACAATTATTTGCACATATATATTGTGTTTTTAGCGTGATATCTAGTATTATAGTGAGAGTTGGAAAAGGTAAAGAGATTGGAAAAAGGTAAGTCGACGAGATTGTGTACAATTTTGTATACCATAACAAGATCAAATTTAACTCTACGGTATTCAAGAAAATCGAGATTTAGAAGAATTAGTATCGATACATAATCAGAATAAGAAATATACCATATTTTACTAGTAATTTTGCTGAAATTTCTAAGAACATTTTCAATACAACAAATATCTTTTAGAAGATAAGGGTTATATGAAAATAAAAACGTGTTTTTTTAACAGTTTATTTTAATAAACACATCATTAGGCTTTAAATTAATGCTATAAAGAAAAAATTCAAATGGTTTTTGAAAATGTTATTTCACAAAAATTACACCTAGTGAAAAAAACGGTTTTGCCCCATTGTGAGGTAAAACCGCACCCTCACAAAAATTATTGGGGGTACACTCTTTTTGGTACATTTTTTTTACAACTGTTACAGCTCAGATTATATTATGATTTTGTTGCATGTTTGCGTACTGTGTAGGCATTCTTTGTACTCTGAGTTTCAAAAATTTATTTATAAAACTAAATAAAAAAATGCGAAATCTCGAAATCTAATTTCCAACATCTCAAAACAAAACTATTTCTATTCAAGTTTTTACATAAATGCATTCAAGTGTGAAGATTTTAGTTATTGTCATTCGTATTTACCTAACTTAGATAAATATCAAAAGTATGCGGTTGTGCCTCTTGTGCGTCAATGCGGTTTTGACCCAAAGGACAGTTTTTAGAAAGAATACAATTTCATAGCTTGCTTATTAGATTATGTTGATATCAAAAATGGTTTTCACATGATGAAATAATGCTGATAAGACACATTTTTAACACTAAAATCAAATATTGCTTAATCCTCAAAAAAAAGGTCTCAAAAAATATGATGTAAATATGATATTTTTTTCAAAATAAACATTATTATGCACAACTTCTCAGAAACGTAACAGACACTCTATTTGACATAAGCGAAATGAAGGAAACTGTTTTACTAACGCGTGATATGGGAAATATTAAAAAACGATTAAGCCTCCATATGCGGTTATGCCCCCACTTCCCCTAAGTCTTTGTTTGTAAAATATTATATCACATTCAAGAGTTTTCAAGTGACATAAAGGCATTTTTTGATTAATTTCGACTAAATTGTCTGTTCGTGAGTCAATCAGTCATCAGTCAATTCGACTGATTAATCCCTGACTAGTTTAAAAAAAAAAGAAAACGAAAAAAGAATCAAACAACTATTACTGTGCACAGTAAAAGTTGTTTGATTCTTTTTTTCGTATTTACGAATGAATGCCTCTATCTTTTTTTGCTGTATAGATGTCTATAAACAAAGAAAGCATAATTTAACGTTAATACTTACAAAACCATATATCAAGGGTAAAATATGATTTTTATTGTCTCATTGGCAACCAATAAAATAACATTTTTTTCTTTTAAAGATTTTTAGTTTAAAATGGTGAACTAAAATTCTGTATTGTCTCACTGGCAACCAATAAAATAACATTTTTTTCTTTCGTCTCGTAGCAACCAGGTTGGTAACAGGAACCTTACCCAATAAATACTTAAATAAAATTTAAAAAATTCTTAAAAAAAGACAAGTGATTAGAATTATAAAAAGTCAAAAAATCGTTAGAAAAAAACTAATGTAATAGTAGTTTTTTTATTATCAACGTTCCATAATCGTATTTACGCATGAATGCCTCTATCTTTTTTTGCTGTTTAGATGTCTATAAACCAAGAAAGCATAATATAACGTTAATACTTACAAAACCATACATCAAGGGTAAAATAAGATATTTATTGTCTCATTGGCAACCAATAAAATAACATTTTTTTCTTTTAAAGAGTTTTAGTTTAAAATGGTTAACTAAAATTCTTCAAAACTTCAAAACTTCAAAACTTCAAAACTTCAAAACTTCATTAAACTTACGCATGGGTAAGTTTAATAAAGAGTACGAACCTCAAAGTATTATTAGTTTTGAAGAATTTTAGTTAACCATTTTAAACTAAAACTCTTTAAAAGAAAAAAATGTTATTTTATTGGTTGCTAAATTATACGTTGATAATAAAAAAATTACTATTACATTAGTTTTTTTCTAACGATTTTTTGACTTTTTATAATTCTAATCACTTGTCTTTTTTTAAGAATTTTTTAAATTTTATATATATATATATATATATATATATATATATATATATATATATATATATATATATATATATATATATATATATATATATATATATATATATAGTATATATATATGTATATATATATATATATATATATATATATATATATATATATATATATATATATATATATATATATACATACATATATATATATATATATACATATATATATATATATATATATATATATATATATATATATATATATATATATATATATATACATACATATATATATATATATATATATATATATATATATATATATATATATATATACATATATATATATATATATATATATATATACATATATATATATATATATATATATATATATATATATATATATATATATATATATATATATATATATATATATATATATATATATATATATATATATATATATATATATATATATATATATATATATATATATATATATATATATATATATATATATATATGTATAAACATACACATATACAAACACACACTTTACCTAACGTATAACGTTTTTATTGAAATTACAACTTTATTAGTAATACTCACTTTTTTCACTTTATTCAACTAGAGCGCAAATTTCCAAAATATATTAACAAATGTTCCAAAGCGAATATACAGGACATAGATTTTTTAATCTTTTGCAATCATAAATTTTGAACGCTATTTCAGTAAGTTTTATAAACTTCTGCAACTAAGCAATACTGATAGTTTTTTAATAAAAGTGATTCAATTTAAGTAACAGCGTCTTTTTGCTTATTGTTTATTTTCCGAGAAAGAATGGAAGAAAAACATTTCTTGGAAAAAATGCAGATTTTCGTTGTCATAGAAATTTTTATTTTTTAATTGTGATTGGCGGTTTTCGTAAATGTACAGTTTGGTGTATTTAGGGGTCGTCCATAAATTACGTCACGCAATTTTTAACATTTTTTGACCCCCTTTCTACCCCTCGTAACGCATCCGTAACATTTTATTGCCCCTTCCCCACTGATATTACGCACCAGTTTTGTACCCCCCTAAAAAGTTTTTAAAAGTTTTTTTATAGAGGATGGGAGAGGGTACAAAATACAATTTTTACAAAATACAAAACCATTTTAAATGTAATAATGTCTATAATTCTCTCAGCTTCTTAATTTATTTACGTTAATTAATTGTGCTTTTCAGTCTGTTTAAATTTGTTTTTCACCCCAATAGTTCCGTGTAAAATTGTATAAATTAACATCGCTCTTCTAAACATGATACAAATTTTATCTATTTTCCGAAATATTATATATATATATATATATATATATATATATATATATATATATATATATATATATATATATATATATATATATATATATATATATATATATATATATATATATATATATATATATATATATATATATACAGGGCTCGAAATAACGTACTTTTTTGTTCCGGACAGTTTGTCCGATAAATTGTTTGGTTTGTCGGACATGACCGATAAATTTCAACATAAAATATTTTTACTATAAAACTAATATCCGATTTATTATTTACTAGTGGTATGTGCGGTCATTAGTAGGGGTGCACCGATGCATCGGCCGATGCCAATTGTTTAAAAAAGTCAATTTTTTTTTATTTTTTTGTTTCTATATTGTATAAAAAAATATAATAATTATATTTTTTTATAAAATATAGAAACACAAAATTAAAAAGACTCATTTTTCAAAACAATCGGCATCGGCCGATGGTTACCAAGACCGATGCAACAGTGCACCCTTAGTCATTAGTATTGCGGTGTTAATTAGATTATGAAAGTAAAAAAAAAAACGTGTTATACTTTCATGTTTAGACTTACAAGTTAAAAACTTGTGACTTTTTTGGAAAAAAACGACAACATTTCTAAAAGAATAAAAACAGTTTTTAATAAAATAATAATAATAAATAGTTGTGTTTGCTATCGCGCTAACCATTTTTACTTTAGAGTATTGGTATTAACTATCTCTATTTAACGCTATTTATTGTGCAAACGTAATGTCTATACATAAACGAACTTTTCTCGTCAGGAATATGTTTGATTATAAAAGCAAGACCAGTATTTTGTATTTATTTTAAAGCTTAAAGATTTTTACACAATTAAAATATGTTTTTCTTTTAATTGTCATCAAAAAGAGATTTCACAAGATCCTCTCCACTATCATTTTCACTGTCGCTAAGGGAAGTAATTGTTCTTTTTTTGTTTACCCGATCTTTATAAATTCCCGTTGGTTTTTGGTTTGGGCGTCTTCCTTTATCACTCCACCACAATTCAATTGCAGGAAGAAAATTGAATTCTTTCAGCAATGGACCATCTTCCAAAATGCGCAAAATATTTGAAACACAAGATTCTGTCAATGAGGTTCGATAATTTGATTTGACACTTTTCATCTTTGAAAACATTCTTTCCAGCTTAGCGTTAGAAATTGGCAAAGTAAACAATAGCTCAGCAACTGTTAAAATAGAGGTCCATGATTTACTTCTAGGTGATACAAATATGCGTCGCCAGGTAATTCGGTATTGCGTTTCAACTGGGGATAAAAACTCTTGAGCATAACTTAGCATTTCTTTCCATTGAGTTAAGATGTCTGGAAAAACAACAGCAGCAGAGCGTAAAGGCTCTTGAAAGTGTTTGCATATATAATTTAAAGCTTCATCGGCAAAATCTAAATTTCGCGTTATGATTCCGCTTTCAGCTATAACGTCCCGAAGCCAGCCGTTGCAATTTAATACTTGGGATGCATACTTTAAAATAAGAGTACTTTCTTTTTCGTTTTCTACACGTTGTATAATGCAGTCCCTGACTACTGTTAAATACTCCACAGTTTTTGTTTTAAAAATTTTAAACTCACGCTCAAAGTCTTTAAGTTCAATGTCATGATAATAATGTTTGCCGTTTTTTTTTTGATTTGTGAAAGAAAATCTTTAACTCTAGGCAAATTTTCGAGACTTTTTTTCTCAAATAATACCCATCTTTCCTTTGCTTTTGTAAGACAGTTCATTACTTGAACGTGATCAACTTGATCATCCTGAAAAGACATTGAAAGTATTGAGGGAATTTCGAGTAAATCGATAAAAAATGCAAATAGAAGTGGTATTTTTCCTTTTTTCCATTTTAGGAGATACCCTTTCATTTTAGCTTTGTCAGGAGCTAAAATCGATGGGTCTTCAGCTAATTGTTCAAGATGGGTAATGTATAAACCCCATTTGTCAAGGAAAGACTTCATGGCATTAACTTTATAAGAAATCCATCGTGTTCCAGATGCTTTTTTAGGCTTGCAACTTTCATCAAGCGTATCCATCCCGTCTTTTAAAACAGTATATAACTCGCAAAGCTGTCGGAGCTTTTTTGGTGCTTTTTGGTACAGGCAATAACTTCGTAATATAATTTCATCTACAAGATCGAATTCTGTATCTTTTAAAGCATCTGCAATTGCTAATTCTAAGCGGTGTGCAACACACCAAACAAACACAAGCCACGGACTTCTTTCGCGTAGAATGGTTTTCACACTACTTTGATCGCCTCTATTTAGTGCAGCCCCATCTGAAGTAAAACCAATGCATTTAATAGGTGTTAGCAAATTTACAAAGCATTCTTCTAAAACTTTTACAACACCTTGGGCTTTTCCAGATTCTAAATATTTTATATCTAAAAACGAAGTCCTGATTTCAACCGCATCCGACCCAACTGGCTGTGGATCAAAATATAATGCATACACCACTTCATTTTCAATTACCGAACTGTCTGTTGAACCATCACACAAAACACTATAAAATTTAGCATTTCTAAGGCTATCGTGTAACGAATTTTGCAGACTTCTTGCAATATAGTCAATAAATACAACGCATTGGCGATCTGAAATATAGGATTCTGAAATATTCACACCGAAAAGCTCAACTAATTTAACAATTGGAACAAACTTTGAAAGAGGTGACTGTTGTTTCGCTATAAAGTAAGAAAGTTGAAATTTTTTAAGGGTTTTTTCAAGGTCGTTTTTTTCCATTTTTTTCAAACCATCAGTGATTGTTGCGTTATTTTTACAGGGCAATAAAGGTTTAGATGCATTTTGAAAATTATTAGATTTTTTAAGAAAAAGAGTGTATGCTTTTAAGTGCGGTTGAGACTTACAATGATCAAGAATATTCGATTTTCTATAGTTTGCTGATCCAACTATGAATGTATTCGTATAGTATGGCATAGTTTTTATTGTATCATTAAACTCTGTACAAAACTTGCATTTTAAGTTTTTTACTCTTTCATTTGAATCAATGTCATAAAATAGCCATTCGCTAAGTGAATACTCAGCGAGCTCCGACTTCCAAGTTTCTACTGTCGATACTGATACTTTACGAGGATTTGCCGTGATCTTACTTGTTTCTTCTTTGGCATTTTTTTCATTTATAGACTTAGCTGCAGGCGACTGTTCTAAAAGTGGTTTAAACAAAGAAAATATAGTTTTTTGAATTTTATTTTTCGGTGGCTCAACTGTTGAACACTTTGAACATAAGGCAATTCTCTTAATTTCCTCACTATAAGATAAGTCGCCAGTTTTTCCCAGGGTTGCACAAATATTGCAAACAAAAACAGCGCATTTCATGCATGTATACTTTGTATTTCTTTCACGACAAACTGAGCAAACTGCTTCCATTTTTTTTTAATATTACGCCCTAAGTTGGAATAATGACAACACATTATCATAAATATTTTAAACTTATATATATTATATGTGAATAATTATATTAATAAAATACATAATTATACTCATATAATTATACATTTTATTAATATATTTATTGTTAAATTTATAAAATAAAAACGTCTGTTCACAAAATTGAATAAGATAAGAAATAAGTTTAATTAAAAGTAACAAATAGCTTTACCTTACGAAAATTTCAAATTCAAAATTAAATCACAGTAAACAGAAAACTATTAAAAACGTAACATGTTGTATTAAATTTTATTTTTTACAAAATATTAATATTTACGGGGAAGATATTTTAAAAATGTAAAAGAAAAATGTAAAAAAAGTGTTGATGTTAACCCCCGTTAAAAAAAGCGTTGCTCATTAAATAAAATTCTTGCGGCATAATACTGTTTCCATTTTGTCTGAATTATCTCAAAGAATGACGAACTTCATCACATTGTGCACACTTTCGTTTTCTTGGGCATATTTGGTTAAAAAATAAAATAAAAAAGAAAGTTTATATATAATATACTGAACATTTCAATAACTTTTAAATAACTAAAATAATTTTAAGAAAATTTCACAAAAAATATTAGTCGGACAAAATGACCGATTTATGATGATTTTTACCGGACCAATGTCGGACAATGTCCGATGTCTGGCGGCTATTTCGAGCCCTGTATATATATATATATATATATATATATATATATATATATATATATATATATATATATATATATATATATATATATATATATATATATATATATATATATATATATATATATATATATATATATATATATATATATATATATATATATATATATATATATATATATATATATATATATATATATATATATATATATATATATATATATATATATATATATATATATATATATATATATATATATATATATATGTATATATATAATTTCTATGGAGAGAAAAACAAATAAGCGCGGCGGTGGAGTATTAATTTATGTTTACGAAAATTTTGAGTATTGTTTTAGGAATGATTTGAGCGTTTCTTG